GATCTCCTCCGGGGCAGGCGGGAATCGAACTCATGCGGAAGTGGCTTTAGCTTCTCAGTGCAGTGCTTTAACCCGCTGCGCCACCAGGGAGGGCCATACTTAGCTATTTTTAATGAGAAAATATAGGCTTTACTTTCAGTTGTATGCAGTGATACCAACCATAGTCAAATGTTTTGCATTAGATCATTAGCACTTATCTTACAGCAAAATTCGCCCTTTTACCCACCTTGCCCAATGGTCCCGTAGTCCATGGCAACCACATTCCTACTTCCTAAATAGGAGAATAGAATGAAACTTTGTAATAAGATAGGGAATTTCGCTACATTTAATAACGAGAAGGCTTCAGACCTTTGTTTTTATTACTTTGGCAGTCATTGGATTTGAGAATGTTATGCATTTTTTTTCCTTTGCAAATATACAAGAATTGCACATTTGTGAACCCTTCCCCTAACAAATGGTTGGCTGTAATTTTCCTAGTAGGCATGTAAAATACAAACACATAAACTTAATTTTATTTTGCTACAGTAAAGTGATCTTTTAAATATGAATAAGAAGGCAATTCCTTTCTAAAAAACAAACATGCCATCCAGACACTATCTTGGAAATTATTTAAAAAGTTTCCATTGTTACATGGTTTTTAGAAGTATTTTACTTATTTATTTTCACATAGAAGAACTGAGGTGGAGGCCAGAAGTGCTGGGTTGTGTGTGAGAGAATTCACCAGAGACAGTGGGGAGCAGAACAGACTGATTTGTTGAAATGTATGGCTGAGGGGAGCAGTAGTGACACAGGAGAGGTCTGCTGTGCCATGTGGTTATCTCGGTATCTCCATGGCTGGGTCTGAACTCAGCCGTCCTATGGGCCAGCATGAGTGACGGCGCTGAGACTTAACACTGGGCAACCAGGGAGCCCTGTTACATGGTTTTATTGCAAGGAAATATTTTATGCATAACAGTTTTTGTTGAGAACTAATATGGTTTAAAATTGTTTCAAATATATTTTACCAGCATTTGGACCAGTTTATTTAAATATACACAGAAGGAAGAATGTGAGTAATTGTATTGATATGGAAATTGACCAACTCATTTTAAACACTACTTTAGCCTAATTAGTAAATGACTTTGAGCATCAGTGCCATGACCAGCCAGCCAGTCCAGGAGAAACGCCTTCTCCCGCCCTTTGCGTCAGCTGTGCTAAACATGATGTCCACACAAGTCCACAACCACATCATCTAGTCATTGTAGCAGTAACCAAGATGTTTTGTAAAACTGGCGAATACTCCATCATAGCATTTTCACCAAAAAAACCTCGGAAAAACAATAAGAGGAAAGTTTTCTTTGTACCAACAAAGTATTCATTTCTTTTAAACATATCAAGCATATGTTGATAATGTATCCAGTTTTTCAATAGCATAGCAGTTGTCTGATTTATACATTGATGGTAATGGTGGGGGTATGTGCTTTAACTTTTTTCCTACACTGAGGTGAGGTGGTATATATTTTTATATATTTCTTTATATGTATACAGGAACTAGGTTATAGGCCAGTGGGGGAGGGGCAGAGTGTGAAGACGCATCAGAGACAGAGCGGGGAGCAGAACAGGCAGATTGACTGAAATACACTGCTGAGGGGAGCATCAGGTGGGACAGGAGAGGTCTGCTGTGCCATGTGGGTCACCTCCCTGGCCAGGAATCAAACTCATGGGGCAGTGGCTGTAGTAGCTTCTTAGTACTGTGCTTTAACCTTTTGTGCCACCAGAGAGGGGCCTTGGGTGATGAATTATTTTAAAAAGTGCAATTTAAAAAGCTTTAAGGTCTTGGCATCTGCAACCCAAGCAAAGGGAGTGAATTGATGAAGGTATCTCAGACCAGACCTGGAATTTAATTTCTTTCCTGCTTGGGTTTTACTATTTTATATCCCATCCTTTTAATGTGCTTTTATTACTCCAGCTAAGGAGCCTACATGAAAACAA